GGTCAGCTGGGCCATCCGCCTGCCTTGCCGTGCCTGGACTCGGACCGGACAGGACCTGCAGGACGGGGGGCTGCTCCAGACTGGGGTGACCAGCGCTCCCTTCCCTAGACTTAGTAGAGGAGATGGGGCCAGCCTGGGGAGGGTGTGTGGCCAGGACCGCTCCTCTGCTCCGGGCGCCTGCTGGCAAACAGGGCTCAGGCGTGGGGCCTGGTGGGGCTGAGCCCCCACCACCTCTGCTGGCTCTGGACGGGTCACCAGGCCTTCACAACCTGTGTGTAGAGCCCGGCTGAGGGCCCAGGCCTTGCACCCCTCCCTGTCTCCTCCTAGCAGCCTGGGTGGAGGGCGGGGGGGCCGGCCGCGGGGGGGGGGGGCGTGTCCTCCAGGGATTTTCTTAGTGGGGCAGGGTCCCGGGCCGGTTTGCCCCTAGCAGGATGGAGTCCTGGTGCTCCTTTTCCTGGTGCCATCTGCCTGTCCTACTCCGGGGCCCTCTGCAGGGCTGGCGCCCCAGTCTTGCTCCCCCCTGCCCCCTGCCCACGCGGGCCTCAGGCTCAGGCCTCGTCTGTCCTGTAGCCTCTGTCCGGCGCTGTCCCCAAGGGCTTGTTCTCCCCCAGGCTGGCATCTTCTGCCCTTGCTGCCCCACGTGTGTCGCAGCTGCCTGGGCACGATGTGGTGTCCAGGGAGGGACAGGGACTCCTGGTTGGCTCGGCTCAGCTCTGGAGCTGTGCTTCCGTGGGGGCCCTGGCCAGCGTGCCCGGTAGGTGGAAGCGGCGGGCCTGACTTTATTCACCTGTGTCCTGCCTTCCTTGAGTGGGACGGTGTCTCCTGGGCCTGGCCACCGGGAGCCTCGGGTAGCAGGCCAGACCCAGGTTCAAGAACAGTGTGGACCCAATGCCACTCTCCTGTAGATCAGTAATTGCCCTTGCTGTGTTTTCTCACCACTGCATTTTGGGCAGGGTGTCTGTGGCTTGGGTAGCTGGCAGGGCCTGGTTCTTTCTCCCTTTCTGGGCTTGTGCTCTTTTTTTATTGGGCAGTGGCATAACTGTGCCCTAGGCCCTGTGCTCATGCTGGCCCAGAAAGTGCTTCCACGTAGGGGTATTGCCAGCAATCCTGGAGTTGTCCCATTAGGGGAGGAGGCCTGAAATCTGAGGCTTGGCTGGGTTTAAAGCCCTTCCCTGCATGTGGGGGGCAAGGTTGCTGTAGAGGGAAGTGGGTAGGGGGGATGGCTGTGAGGGGCCACCGTGAGGACATCAGAGCTCTTAGATGGCTGCAGAACAAGGAGGACTTGGCTGGAGTGTTGGATGTTTTGTGTTTTAGGGTGGGAGATCGTTGGGTGGGACGTGGGAAGGGATGGACAGGGATGCAGCATAAGAGTTAAGCGAGGGGCTCAGATCACTCCACTGTGCTGAGAAGAGGGACCCACAGCAAGGCCTTCTCAGGGGAGGAGGGCGCATAAGGCACGGCCAGCTGGGGCGGGGCGAACTGCAGCCAGTGAGCAGCACCTTGAATGGAGCCGCCTGTCCAGTGAGGGGCCTCGAGATGCCTTGGGGCAGAGGTCCTCATGACAGCCCCTTATGCCGTGGGATGATGACACATTTAAGAAGCCTGGGAGATGGCCAGGAGCTGCTGGGATATCCAGGCCTGTTTATCTGGCCCTCCCATCCAGCACTTTGCCTCTCGCAGTCTGGTCATGGGCTGGGTTTCCCTTAGGACAGCGTCCATTCCTGGTGTGGCCTGGCAAGAGCACACCGGTGTCAGGTCCTGTTCTGCTGTGCTATGCATCTCTCCCCTTCCATTGGTCTGAACCCACGAAGGCAGAGAACACTTGAGTGCCAGTGGGCTGGTGGGAGTTGGGGGGGGGCGTGCATGGGTGGGGAAAAGCAGGAGCCCCTGGGTGCCGGGTCTGGAGATCTAGATGGCACCCTTGCAAGAAAGCTAGAGCCGGGCGCCTGGGTGGCTCAGTCGTTGGGCGTCTGCCTTCAGCTCGGGTCATGATCCTGGAGTCCCGGGATCGAGTCCCGCATTGGGCTCCCTGCTCGGCGGGAGGCCTGCTTCTCCCTCTCCCACTCCCCCTGCTTGTGTTCCCTCTCTCGCTGTGTCT